GTCAAGTGATTTCTCTTAGCCCCCTCTCTAGCAAACAGCAAGAGAACTGCTCGCCCGAAATGACCAGAATCCAGAGTACCTACCCTACCTCATGTGGGTGCAGGTATTCTGGATTCTGAATTTGTGTGGATGAAGAGCTTCTCATGCCCTTCAGCTATAGAGGGGGCTGTAACTGTAGCAAACAACTAGGAAGCTCATGTACCTGGCCTGTGACTGAGGAGTTGGATTGCGCATTGCTCATCCCCACACAGTTTCCATACTAAATGATTGTTCTGTCTGATAATTCCAGTATTTTCTTTTTACATTTAACACATAAGGAAACCTGGGAATTCTCTTACAGAATTTTCAAAAAGTTGAACAATATTCAGTTCTTGATTACATCCTAGATTCTTTTTACAAGGGTGCAGCAGGATGCACTGCAAGCCTGCAGTAATGAAGTATATTTTTTTTTCCAAGGGCAAAAGCTCGTCATTTTTATCTCAACCATTTAGATTATGTGGATTAGTTTGTCCTCTTTCTACAACAAATGGGAATTGTTTGCCATATCTTCTTCCCACATTTTTGTGTGAAGTTTTCATTATAGACCACAGGTATTTCACTCATTCTACTTCGTAAACATGGTTTGAAGAGCCATAGGTAGGAAACAGCCTCTTAAAGGCAAGTATTTGTTAGAATATTTTGAGAAATGTTCTAATAAACTATCTGGGCAAGACAATGTTTTGATGGCTGTTAAACTAATCTGGCACTAGAAGTAAATTAGATGCCCCAGTTGTCAACCATTATGAGTTCTTTTAAAAATCCACTACAATTTATAGCACAAAGACTAAATCCATCACATATAGGTGGCTGTAATTTACAATATAAGAAAACATAGCCACTCTAATAAAAATCTATATAAATCACATAGAAAACATAATAATTTGCCAGGGAAAAAAAGGAAAGACGTGTCAACAAAGGAAAAAAAAGGTTTTCTTTTTCAGCCTTTCTTTCCTTTGGGGTCTAATCCTGTGCATTAAGTCTCGTTCAACAATGGAAAATCAGAATCTCAAAAACTAACATTGTTAATCAGGATTGACACAATTGAAAATAATGTAATTGTGTGGGGCTGATGCAGTAATTAGTTTTAAGCCTGCAGGAGAATTGTGTAGCTATAGCATGAGAGATCCTTTGGAAGGAGTATTCTGATTGAAGAGTTAGCTTAGAGGTTGCTCTGATTTGTGCAAGAGCAAAGTCTCCCCCTTTATTTCCCTTTTCAACTGCAGAATAATCTAGGATCTGCCTTTTATTCCTTGAGACTGCACTTTAGTACCAAAATGGACACTTACTGTGAAGAGGAAGAGAGTCACAGTCAGCTGGTGGCATCCTCAAAACATGGAACTCAGTGGCTGACTCAAAGGGATGAATGCTACTGTCTCCCTGCCCTCCTGGCATAGCAGTGAAGAGCATTCCTCACTCCTCACTGTTGAAAAGGTTCCTCAGTGCCTTAAAAAAAAGATTGATCTGCTGGTTACAAGATCAGCCTTCGCACTCATCCCAACAACCTATTCTGATTTCACACTAATCAATACTCAACGGGGTCAGTAAGATCCTTTCCAGTGTCCTTAATAGGAGCTGCAGCAGGTCCCAAATATCCTGGGGTTTGCTACCCTAAGCTTTTATCTTTTGCTATGCTACAACAGTGATATTTATTAAAATTTAGCAAAAAGAATCCCTGTTATTAATACGTGAGGCCAAATATGCTGGCATAGTACCATTAATTTACAAGACAGCAGAATACAGTGGTGATACATAAAGCTGAACAGAATTAGAAATATATACCCTGATTTCTGAATACCCCTACAATGATTGTGATATTTAATTACAATAGACCAGCCTATCTCCAAGAAAGATAGAGATGTTTATTTTATAACCCCTGTTTTTAAGGTGCTGCTTTTTATCTCCAATATAAAACAGAGCAGGAGTATTGCTGTTGATACAAAAAGATGGTTGGCTTCTTTTCTACCATGCTGAAATCTTTCTCATGAAAAGAGAGTAAAGATGAATATATAAGAACCATTGTGAAGTGGAAAAGTGAATGGCGAAAGAGGCATTACTTGTTATTTTAATTGATGAGTTTTCCTGTAACATTTATCAGCGTAATGCCCAGCAGTAACTTTCTGCCCTGCCCCTAGGGAGACCCAGAAAAATATTCTTAGTTCAGTTTCACAGAGGTGTAATCTGAGGGGTTTGGATGACGCTGGTAACACACCAGGCAGTAGGAAACAGGATCAAGATTCTGTCTGTGATTTCAATGCCTGAATCCCCCAAACACGCCTCCAATGCATTAAGTGACCAACCCAATCTTACAGTTTGCTTTGGCTAATGGAATTTGTGAATGATTGGCCCATTAGCTGAAATTGTAAAGGACCAGAACAGAATGGGAGGAAAGATGAGTGGACAAAATATAACCCAGCAGCTCTACCACATGCTCTGTTGACATGTAGCAAATCACTTGGACTCTTGGTGCATCCATCTCCCATGTGCTAAATGGGCTACTTTTGAGCCTACCTTGCAAGACAGCAGTGAGTCAAAGACTGTGAGATATTCACAAAGTTTTTGGGAGAATCCAAGATATCTGCAGGGAAAAAAAAAAACAATTAACAACTGTTTAAAGAACCCAAGTCTTTTTTATCAGGGTACCTCTAACCTCTTTGTATTGTTTCAGTCCTTTGAACCGGCAGACAAAGACTTGAGTAGGGTCAAGAATCTTTATGTAGCACACTAGGTTTGTCAGGAAGCAGGAAAAGGGAAGCTGCTATTTTGCTCCAGAGAAACTTTTCTCCACCTCAGAGTAATAGAAGCAGAAAATTTTCAATTAGGCTGGTGCTGGCGGAGGAGAAAAGATTATCTATTTTCTTTTTAGAGGAAGAGTCCCTTTTGTTACCTGGTGGCAGCAGGAAAGAGAAAAGCCATTGTCAAACATACATATTTCATAATACCACAAAAACAGACTCACATTCACCACTGGCATTCTGGTTGGGAAGCTAAATGAGCTGCTCAGATGTTAGCTAATTACTTTTGGCATAATTATATCACCCTTCATGCAGGAAGACACATTAGGTCACATGTTTGGCTGGTATAAAGTTTCTATCTTGGCAGCATGGCTCATGTACTCCAGCTGAGGACAAGCTCCTTTGTTTCTGTTTCTTATATGTAAGGAAAACTCACCACCTTATATATGCAGTTCCATCTAGTGAGGAAGGACCAAGATGCAGGTTTCACCTTGTGTGACCACATGCAACCATGAGCTCCCAAGCTACTAAATTAAGATTTGTTTTTGTTTGCCACAGAGTAACACAACAGCACTGACAAAGAAACTTGACTCAGATCAAGGTGAAATGCTGCCAAAAGAAGAGTAGGACTAGGGTTTCTCAAAACCCATGGAAGACTTCAGAAAAGTTTAAAGAAATGTAACAGTAAACAGTGGAGTTGAGGTCTCACAGGCATGAATGAGACCTCATCCTGCACATCTGGCAGAAGCACTGCCACATATGTCATTGGGTGACAGATCAGTCTACAGAGTTTTGGAGGAAAGTTTGCCACTAGATTTTGAGATGGAGAGAAAGAAAAGCATGGACAGGGGAAAACATGCCTTCACTACCCATCCAAATGCTAGCTTATCACCACCATGTATAGAATGAGAGAAGCAGGAGTACAAGAGAACTTACTTTTCTCTGATGGCTGGAAGAAAGAAATCTGTTCTTGGCTCTTTCCATTGAAAAACATTTCTCTCTTGATAATGAGGAGGGGATAAAATAGACCGTTAATCAACAACATGTTACACATCAGGTAGTCACTGTACTCACCTGGGACCCTAAGCTGGCCTTGTTTCCCACCTTACTGCAGCTGAAGGATCAGCAGCATTTCTGCCCAAAGCATCCTCTGAAAGCTTTGACAGGCAGGTAGGCAGCTCATTGTGTTCATCAGCTTAGAAGGTCACTGATTCCATCACCAAGCAATTGTGACCCACCAGCTCTGACAGGAGAAGACCCAGATAGCTCTATCTTTTGTTCCGAGAGTCCCAGAGGGTTGGAAATTAAACAGACAGCAACATGTGGACATAGACAGAGAACATAATGTGCCAAGGACGTGTTTTTTTGAGAGCATTATCAACTTACTAAAACATGCTGTTCATTTCAGAAAGTGCAGTTACTGAGAAGAGACTGAACTGAAAAGTAAAATTACTATAAAGAAAATTGGTACTGTCCTGGCTCAAATCAGGACAGAAATACAGGGTTAAGCCCAGACAGGCCATGAATTTATCACTGCAAGTTCAGGGGTGCCATTCTGCTCTGTTACCCAGCATAGTAATAGCAAATGTATGCTAAGGTAATCAAGGGAAAACATCTTCAGGTGAAAACCTGGGAAATGCATCTAAGGATGCTTGTTTTTTCAGTATTAGTTTTAATAATGTAAGAATTAATCACTAATCACAGAACAACTACAGAATAAACTCAATACAACAAATATCTTAATTACAAAAAAGAATTATTGCAACAACAGCATTGTCTTAAAGCTTATAACTACCCTATGTTTGGAATATTATTTTAGGAAGGAGATCTAAAATGAAGAGCAGAGACAATGCTATTTAGTATGAATAACATTTATGTCTGTACTGAATAGATGCTTGTTATACTGCATGTATTGTTAAAGAAGAAAAGACCTGACCTGTGATTAGAAACTCAGTCTTCATCCTACACAGTTAGATGAGATTGAAATTTGATGGTGAGTCTAAGACATCATCAAGGAATGAGCAACAGGATGTAGCTTTTATTTTCTATGGCCGACCATGGTCAGCACTGTGGAGGGACAAATTTCAGTTGTGCAAGACTGGTCGGTGGGACTTCCTGAAGTTAACCTTGAGGGAGATCTCAACAGGCAGTAGTTCTCTGTTTTAACTCAGTTGCATTTGGAAAACCATCTCATCAGGCTGTTTGCTTAACAGCTGGAGGACTTTGTACTCAGGAAGTCAGTTGTGTCTGAAACCACTCTCTGAAATCCTCTTCTGGCATCTTCACAATACTTTCACGTACAAACTGAAACAGAAAGGTCCTTTCTTGAGCTTTTGATTTATGTGTAAGAGGGACAACATGGGAAAATATTACTATTTTGACAGCAGAACAAATGTAATGGCTTCTACAAAGTTAGCATAGTGCTTTATATCACCAAAACATTTTTAATACAACTTTCAGAACAGCTGGATATATAATAAGTTAAAACTCAACCATCTTCACTGAAGTTTATATCCCAAACTTGTCCAAGTCAAGTCTTTGTGTTTTAAACTTGCAACTGTGTCCTATCATTGCAGTGTACACATTAAAACAACTTGAAGTTAAATAGGAACCTCATCTGGATTCCCACCAGTATCAACCAGGTCATACTCAGTGATGCTGCTCTTGCTGCTAAAATGTGAGCTTCCTGTATGTATGCCAGTCAGAAGGAGCACCAAGGTCCTCCTTCCTCTGTTTTTGAAAGATGTAGAAATAAGTAGACAGGAGATTCAACTATGCTAAAGATCTAAAAAGAACATAAGCAACAGAGATTTAGATACTGAACAATAAGGCAAAGGTGTCTCTCTAGTTAGGGACTATGCTAATTAGGGCATAAGACAAAATGGCTCTTTCATAATGCATCAAGAAAACACAGGTAGCCTGATCTCAACATGTTGGATGCTAAATCTTTGCCCGTGATAACAATAAATATATTGTTATCATGCCTTATTGTTAAGATGCACGTTAAGATGCACCTGCTGCCTCTCAGAGATTTCTGTTGGTCTTGTAAGATTAGGGGAAATAACTGTGATGAGAACAAAAAACACAAGGTGGCATCATTGCCATTTTGTTAAAGTTAGTTGCCTGGTTAGACCACATTAGCAATGTACATTCTAAATGTATTATCTTCCTCTTGTGTCCTTCCCCTTCTGCCAGTGGCTTCTAGAACTACAAGAGTTGGGCCTAACTTAAGATTTGAGAAGCAGATTTATTATTTTTTTTTATGTTGCTGGAGCCAAACAAAGGTATCTGCAGAGTTCCTGGGTCAGAGATGTAATACATTACTTGAGTAACTCATGGATGTAGTACTGGGAATGACATGCATTTTCAGGGCACAAAAAGTTCATGCTTCTCTTCAAGTATCCTAACAACTTATCACAGATGTCACTTTCACTGTGGCAGTAAATAAATCCAACAGTGACATAAAACCAAAATGATACTGATTAGTAATCCAATGCTTGTCATAACATCTATCTCTGTGGAGTTTGAGGTGCCTTGTAAAAGGTGAATAGTAGCATCTTCATTGAGCAACACCCTTAATTATTTCATCTGGTAGCTTTCCACTGCATAGGCTCCTGGCTCTCTCCACCCTCATCACCCAGAGAATCGAGAAGTGCACTCGGCTCACCTCCACAGCTGCAGCAATTTCTGGAGAACACAGCTCCCATTCCTGTAGATCACCCACAATCTTAAGAAAGATGTCTGGATCAATCTCCAAGTCAGGATTCATGCCAAATTTTTCCAGTTTCTCTAAGATTTTCTGTACATATCGGTCACTCTTCACAGACTCTGGGAGTCTGGCAAGCAATACTGGAAACCTTTAGCAGAAAGAACAGCAGTAAAAGAGAAGCCATGGGAACAACAGCCTGTCTGATTAATCATTCAGGGTTTGCCTGGCATTTCTGCCTCTTGACCACCTCCACAGCTTCCACAGAAAAAACAACTCTTTAGGGAATGCAATACCTGGTATAATTTTGAGTGAATAATGTAGAAAAGCTTCACTCTTCATTTAAAGATTGGATTACAAAATGGTGTACGAAAAGAAATTACGACATCCTAACAAATGTGTCTTATGTTTCACTACATATTTGTCCTCTTCGTCTTTATTTTATTTAGCCTCTATGGCAATCTGTGCAATCTGACACGCTTTCTGATTCTCTTTACTATCTCTTTTCCCTATGCTATCATATCTCTATGTGCACACATACATTTCATTAAGTGCACTGTAATACACAGTCTTAAGCATTCACTTTGAATAGAGATTCAGAAGAAGGACACATTACAATAAATAAATGATAAATAAACAACTCTTGTGAAAAGACTGCCTTTATTTTAAAAGATCTGTTTGTTTTCCAGTACTGCTTTGACAGTCCTGGAGACTAATGTTCCCAAACCTTTCTAAACTGTGCGTGCTATGGCTTCCATTACAAAGTGCTGAGGAAGTGGCAGCACATCAGC